ATGCGGTATGGGCTTTGCTCATTGTTGAAGGCCGTACGGTAACCTATAGTTGTTAATTTCTGTGTCATTTGGTCTCTTGTGAAGAGTTGTCTCATTGGCAATCATACCACATCTTCTTTTTTATACTGAAACTTAGTACACATGTTCCCTATGATATGATCTTTCTAATTTTAATGCCAAATTAGAGTTTTGACCCCAATTTCACGGTCCACTGAACATAGAAAATGATAGTGCGAGTGGGGCATCCGTGTACTATGGACACATTCTTGTTATACAATATATTGAAATGAATAATTATACATATGTCCTTCTCCCTGCAACTACTAAAAACAACTTATAGTTGCTTTCTCGCGCCAAGCGTCAAACATTGCAGCCATATTAAAGACGATAACATACTTATATTTAATAGTTAATCAATTGACTAGGTTCTGTATAGGCACACACGGAGGGGTCTCAACATGGGATTTTGGGTACAGTTGTGCAGCTGGGATTTCATTGAAAAAACACCCCCATTCATATATTGAATAATCGAGAAACCCCGGAGGCTACATATACATATATTTCACAGCGAAATCATAACCCATTCATATATTTATCAGCTCAAATAGTACCTATATGTGTCAATAAGTTTCAGCAGATGTGGAAATTTTAATGACAAAGAGTTTGGGAAATTCAGTGCATGAAGATCGTTGCACAACAAACTGAAAAATTATGACCCATTGATATATCACAATTGGTCAATTACTACCTATTGATATATTTCCTCGGTAAAATTGCACCCCATAGATATATTTGACGTATCAAAAAAGGGACCCATTCCAGCGGCACATATGTATATACCTTCATATAGGAAGAGACCCCCGTGTAGGCACATAAGTATGAATCAAGTACTGAAGTACTATTTGCTCTGATGACTCCAAGATAGCCAGCGAATAAATTATACATATTTCTTTTACTTATATCATTTGGCTAGTAAGTTCTATGGACACAGACGATCGGAAAGAACAACTGAAAAAAGTTAAATGTGACTGGATACTGAATTAAATGAAAATGTTCATATTTCGATCAGGCGTAATTGTGTATAAAACAGACACCCCTCTCCAATACGAGACTGAAGAAGTTTAAGTGACTATAGTTCTATACTCATGCAACCCTTTTTTGTGTAAACAGAATTTTAATTTGCGTAGGTTGTCCCTTTTCATAAAACTTCATAGGGTAGACCTTTCTTATTTTCAACATTGTCTATTTTGTTCTTCATTCCTTTATATAGTTCTAATTTTAGAAGCAAAACCTCGTCTATTTACTTAATCATATGTCATGATCTACATGATATGCTTTGCATATCAAATTCATGTATTTGATACAATGTTTATAATAGCAATTGTTTTATTTGTCTTAATGAATTGTTTAAACGACAGAGGTACTATTAAAGTAACTTACAAAGCCTATTTTGGTTCGCTTGTTTTAATCATAAGTGGGGGCAATGAACTATAAAAATGGGGGAGGGGTTACGTGTTAAAATAAGGAGAGGAGAAAGAAGTCAAACCTTAAATCATACTATTTTTTAAGATATGAATAAGAAAATAATCAGTAAACATGAGTCTGCCTGTCAGCAACATATACACACCGAGGCTGATCGAGTGACAAAAGATTAACTATTGACTTTTTACGATATTGAAAATTAAAAATCTATCGGAAACATTGTTATATATACTGACATAATCTTTCAATCAGTTTAATTGAAGTCTGGAGCTGGCATGTCAGTTAACTGCTAGTAGTCTGTTGTTATTTATGTATTATTGTCATTTTGTTTATTTTCTTTGGTTACATCTTCTGACATCAGACTCGGACTTCTCTTGAACTGAATTTTAATATACGTATTGTTATGCGTTTACTTTTCTACATTGGCTAGAGGTATAGGGGGAGGGTTGAGATCTCACAAACATGTTTAACCCCGCCGCATTTTTGCGCCTGTCCCAAGTCAGGAGCCTCTAGCCTTTGATAGTCTTGTATTATTTTTTATTTTAGTTTCTTGTGTACAATTTGGAGTAGTATGGCGTTCATTATCACTGAACTAGTATATATATTTGTTTAGGGGCCAGCTGAAGGACGCCTCCGGGTGCGGGAATTTCTCGCTGCATTGAAGACCTGTTGGTGACCTTCTACTGTTGTCTGTTCTATGGTCGGGTCGTTGTCTCTTTGACACATTCCCCATTTCCATTCTCAATTTTATTGAATTCAAAAATCGAAATAAATTCCCTGATAAAATTCAGGGTGTAGGAGCCGGGGACATAGCTGACTAACTTCACTAGACTATTTGACTACAGAAAAACAAGTTTTTTTTGCTTTTCACTTTCAGAAGTTTGCCTCGATCCCCTCCATACACAAACATTTTTCAGTCTTATCCTACAGCATTGAAAGAGTTCAAAAACAATAGGCTGCACGAAAATATATGACCAGGAGTCCATTACTAGTAATGGACATCTGATATGACTTACTTTTTCTGATCATTATGGTGTTCTGTATGTGATATCTTAATTTTGGTGATTAGTCGTATCGACACAACTGTTTCACAATCTATAACAAATCGCCCCACTGGCAAATCGCCCCACTTTTTCACAAACTCGCCCCACTTTCTTAAAAATCGCCCCACTTTTGTTTACCAACTCGCCCCACTTATGAAAAGGATAAAATTCCATTGAAAATAGGTTGGATATATTGCTCCATTTATGAAAAGGGAAAAAAGTCCCTCTGATATAAGGTCTGCCAACTCGCCCCACTTGTGAAAAATAGATAAATCCTGATGAATTTAGTATAATACCAACTCGCCCCACTTATGAAAAAAGATGCAATCCCGTTGTATATCTATGTTCCTGCCCCACTTATAAATAAAATCAATACCTATTAAAACCTTAGATACACATGTTTTCCCGTTTGAATGGTTTTACACTAGTCATTTTTGGGGCCCTTTATATCTTACTGTTCGATGTGAGCCAAGCTAGGCTCCGTGTTGAAGACCGTACTTTGACTTATACATAATGGTTTTTCTTTTACAAATTGTGACTTGGATGGAGAGTTGTCTCATTGGCACTCATACCACATCTTCTTATATCTATTTTGTAGTTCTTATCTTTTTGTTGAAATAAAGCACAAAGAAGTGAGTATCAGTATTTTCTGTGACGTGAATGCCAACTAGCCCAACCAGTGAAAAATAGAAAAATCCTGATGAATTGAGTAATGCCAACTCGACCCACTTTAATTATGAAAAATATAAAATACCTGATGAATCAAGTTGAGTCATCCCAACTGAATGTCAATAATAATGATTTAGTAAATTTTCGTTTTTTTGTATTCTGTGTATAATATTTTTTTAATTAAGTAGGGCGAGTTCAGGGGCGGATCTAGGATTTTGGAAAGGGGGGGCGTAGTATTATAGTTCGCCGAGCGGAGCGAGGCGAAAAATTTTTTGGACCTTTTTTTGGCTAAAAAACATAAAATAAGTGTAAAATGCATTTTATAGTTAAAGTGTAGGGGTTGGACATTTTTGGTGCCGTATTCTTTCCATTAATTGTCTATTATAAAATGATTGGATGGATCCAAAGCTATGTACTAATTAATATATTTGATGTGGGATTTGTCAGTAAAAAATGGACATGAAAAATTCTCGTTTGTTGTATGGTTAGTTAGCATAACCTCACAGATTTCTTGTTGTAAACAAGATATACGGCTATTCAATGAAATTTACAATACGACCGACACGAAGAAAGACAAACAAGCAATTTTTTATCCAAATGTTTGGTTGAAATGTTTCAACCAACAAGGGAAGTGAGGGGTTCCAAATCAACCAAAGGCTACGAATGAGTCGGAAATGACAATGAAGTTGTGAATGACGGTCGACACATGGAGACATATAGGCCACACCCAGCAGGCAGGTTGCAGTCGGGCCTTGAAAAAAGTATTCCGTATATCAGTTCGGCGAAACAGACATTCCGGTCAGATATGGGATTCACATGCAACCCCCCAAAAATAAATTACGCCCGTTTTTTATTCATCATGTTCATTTAATGGTAAATAATTTTGTTGAAAATATTTTTTTCTAATTGCAAAAAAGTGGACAAGATTATTGTTTTCAATCCAGATACGGCCAGTATTTTTGTTTAAGGCAAAAACCAGGGTCAGAATTTTTTCTCTAAAATATCTCAGACTGCCCCCTCAAATCAAATGGTCCGTACCTTAGACTTTAAATCTATATCTAGAGCTTACTGACTGGGGATCACTATTCCGCAATATTATTAATGGGCTGGGACGTGTGGGGTTAAACATGTTTTCGTAGGTAAATAATATTGCTGTGGAAAATTTTTTTTTCATGAGAGTGTAATAGAGTATTACTTTCTGTTGGGTGGAATTGTGAAATAGAAGTCAATACGTTCTTGCTCGATACTTTGTCGCTTTGAAGGCGTCATGCTTGTCATCCTCAGCCTAAGCAATGTGTTACTGTAATTTGAATTTCAAAATGACTGAGTGACGATTTTTTCGACGTACTGGTCAACTCCACCGTAGCGAATCACATGACTTTGACATAATCAATAATATATTACAGTAAATACGAGCGAAAAATATCTTTATAAGTAAAGAATTATCGCATAAAAATTAAATACACTGGAAATGGCAAAGTTCGCGAAGTCTAGTCTGATTAATCATTTTACAAAAAAAAAAAAAAAGTGCAGGCAAAGGGGGGGCGTACGCCCTCTACGCCCCCCTCTGGATCCGCCACTGGAGTTGGCAGACCTGAAATTATATATTCATCTAGGTTTACATTATTTCATTAAGTGGGGCGAGTTGGCAGGAGAAAAATTAACGGGATTTAATTAACCCTTTTCACAAGTGGGGCGATTTTTTTAAAAGTGGGGCGAGTTGGTAAACCAGTTTGGGGCGATTTTTTAAAAGTGGGGCGATTTGGTGTGGGGCGATTTTCCAGTGGGGCGATTTGTCCTGCTTCCCAAGCATGTCATTCACGGGACCAGTTTAATTGTGCTGGAAAATTATATCTGACTGTAGCCAGTAGAAATAGTTCTTAACGAAAGGACACAGTATTACAAGACTGTCATCGATGAGTATGTTTGGGGGAAGTGTCCCTTTGCATTTAATTTTCATATACATGTAAGAGCAACTCTGAATGGATTCGCTGTTACTGTTAGCATCAGCAATCTTACCCAATCTCTTTTTCAAGTTTTATGATTATAACAGCAACTTGCACTTGTAAAATAAAACCAACCTAAATGTATGATTACATTTATCTAGCACAAGGGTCTATCACATGAACAGGATACAAGACAATGTCTTCATAGACCACAATGAAATACTATTTGTGCTATGTGTGTGGTCGTTTATTTAAGGTTCATGTGGAACCTTTGGCTAAAATGACTGGTTTACACCACAAAATTGAGATTCACTTGTTGTCGAGTATCGAGTTGCGAGTAACAAAAGTTGAGTTGCGAGTTATGAAAGTCGAATTGCGAGTAACGCAGGGCGAGTTACGAGTTACGAAAGTCGAGTAGCGAGTTACAAAAAAAGATTTGCGTGAAAATGGGGAAAACTATTTTAATTTTTTGGTGTACCTCTTTAAAATTTTTGAATGGTGATTGTTTATAGAATTGTATACAGTATTGTTGATTCTTTTTGTTGTTTGGACTTCATCTGAGTCTTGTGTAAAAAAAAATGAATGGATTGCTTACATAATCACTACGCAAAGTATGGTTATTTTCTGCACCGTCATATTACACGTAAAGGAAGATAGAAACTAAACTATAGTACATACATGTATATGTAAAAGACCCCTTCTGCGGATTCCGTTAAGAGTGGGCTCTTTGGGGCAGCTGCAGAGGCAATATTTGTTAGGGACCCTAAAATTTATTCTTTGGCAGTGACACTCAAAACTGTAGACGTTTAAGTTATATATGTCTACATTGGCTTGAGGTGAAGGGGGAAGTTTGAGTTCTCATAGTCATAAAACCTGTTTAACCCCCGCCGCATTTTTGCGTCTGTCCTAAGTCAGAAACCTCTAGCCTTTGTTAGTCTTGTTTATATTTTAATTTTGGTTCATCAATATGTTTCGGAGCATAGAATGGCGTCCATTTTATTGATCTAGTGTACATTGTGTTTCGGGGCCTGCCTCTGGGTGTGGGATTTTTCGCTGTGTTGGACCCATTGGTGGCCTTGGGTTGACTTGTATATTTTGGTTGGGTTGTTGTCTCTTTGACACATTCCCCGTTTCCGTTCTTTATGCTATACATGTAGCTGTCAAAAATACTTTTGTAAAAGAGCCAAAAGAGGCAGTTTTGGAATATGTAACTTCTTTCTAAAAATTGGGTTAATCATACGAAAATGTACAATACCCAGCTGATATCTGAAACGACAACATTTGTATCAAGGCTGCGTGCAGGTAGAAAAGTAAACTTGTGACACAACATGGACAAGGCTTTTATTTTTTGTAACAGCGGTATATATAGCTTATTATCATGATTATAGAATAACGTCTTTCCAAATTAAAATAAAATGCTCCGCAGGGCGCAGCTTGATACGACCGCAGAGGTCGAACCCTGAACAGTTGGGGCAAGTATGGACACAACATTCAAGCTTGATACAGCTTTGCATTTGGATTGTGATTAAATATTTGACACAGCATAGGTTTCTGACACAGAATGAATGTGGTCTAAGAACTTAAAAATTTTAAATTGGACATTCACCTATTATGGTCCAATATCCAAAATCTAAATACATGGTTAGATTCAGCATATCAAAGAACCCCAAGAATTCAATTTTTGATGAAATCAAACAAAGTTTAATTTTGGACCCTTTTGACCTCAATGTGGACAAAGTTGATAACGGGGACCAAAAATCAAAAATCTAAATACATGGTTGGATTAAGCATATTAAAGAACCCCATATATTCAATTTATGTTGAAATCAAACAAAGTTTAATTTTGGACCCCGATTTGGACCAACTTGAAACTGGGCCCATAATCAAAAATCTAAATACATGTTTAGATTCAGCATATCAAAGAACCCTAAGAATTCAATTTTTGTTAAAATCAAACTAAGTTTAATTTTGGACCCTTTGGACCTTAATGTAGACCAATTTGAAAACGGAACCAAAAATTAAGAATCTAAATACACAGTAAGATTCAGCATATCAAAGAACCCCAATAATTCAATTTTTGATGAAATCAAACAAAGTTTAATTTTGGACCCTTTGGACCTCAATGTGGACCAATTTAAAAACGGGGCCCAAAATCCAAAAACTAAATACACAGTTAGATTCAGCATATTAAAGAACCCCAAGAATTCAAGAATAAAACCCCATTGAAATTGGTCAAGAAATAAGCAATTTATACGAAGTATCTTCTTTTGCACAATACTGTGCAATAAAATATTTCTTGCTATTGCGCAATACTGTACAATTGACAATTTCTTGCTATTGCGCAATATTGTGCTATTGGATATTTCTTGCTATTGCTCAATACTGTGCAATTGAAGATTTCTTGCTATTGCGCAATACTGTGCAATTGAAGATTTCTTGATATTGTGCAATACTGTGCAATTGAAAATTTCTTGCTATTGCACAATACTTATTATATAATAATTTACACCTCCTGTTTGGTGGGTATCTCCTACCATATCATTATTATTTGCTTCTAAGTATAAATCAGAAATAACCAACTTAAAATGGAAAATTTTAAAAGAAAAAAAAAGGAAAAAAAAAGGAAAAAAAAAATCTCCCCCCCCAAATTTTTTGAACCCCCTTATGATTCATCACCCCCAAACTCAATCCCAGCCTTCCCTTTGTGGTATGGTACCTTGCAGTACAATTTCAGAGAGATCCATACACTTGAACACAAGTTATTGTCTGGAAACTAGAAAAATGTGTTTTTTGGCCCCAAATTCCTAAACGTTTAGGGCAATTACCCCCAAACTCAAACCCAGCTTTCCTTTTGTGATATGGAACCTTGTAGTACAATTTCAGAAAGATCCATACACTTACACACAAGTTATTGTCCTGAAACTAGAAAAATGCTTGTTTTTTGCCCCTTTTTTGCCCCTAATTCCTAAAATATTGAGGCAATTACCCCCATCATCAATCCCAGCCTTCCCTTTGTGGTATGGTACCTTGCAGGACAATTTCAGAGAGATCCATACACTTGAACACAAGTTATTGTCTGGAAACTAGAAAAATGTGTTTTTTGGCCCCTTTTTGGCCCCCAATTCCTAAACATTTCGGCAATTACCCCCAAACTCAATTCCAGCTTTCCCTTTGTGATATGGAACCTTGTATTACAATTTCAGAAAGATCCATACACTTAGACACAAAAGTTATTGTCATGAAACTAGAAAAATGCTTGTTTTTTGCCCCTTTTTTGGCCCCTAATTCCTAAAATTTTGAGGCAATTACCCCCAAAATCAATCCCAGCATTCCTTTTGTGATATGGAACCTTGTGGTACAATGTCAGAGAGATCCATACACTAACACACAAGTTATGTCTGGAAGTTACAAAAATGCTTATTTTTGGCCCCTTTTTGGCCCCTAATTCCTTTACTGTTGGTACCAAAACCCCCAAAATCAATCCCAACCTTCCTTTTGTGGTATTGAACCTTGTGGTAAAATTTCATAGAGATCCATTCACTTAAACTAAGTGTCTTCGGACGACGCAGGACGACGACACCAACGTCATACCAATATACGACCACAAAAATTTATTTGAGGTCGTATAGAAAAATCCACATTATGATCTCCTATGCCAGGAAGTTACCATAATGCCATAGAAACACATCTATAGCATGCTTATTTTTATACGACCGCAAAAAATTTTGCAGTCGTATATTGGTATCACGTCGTCAGCGTCGTCCGAAGACATTTGGTTTCCGGACAATAACTTAAGTAAATGTGAATAGAAATCTATGAAATTTAAACACAAGGTTAATAATAACAAAAGGAAGGTTGGGATTGATTTTGGGGGTTATAGTCCTAACAGTTTAGGAATAAGGGGCCAAAAAGGGGTCCAAATAAGCATTTTTCTAGTTTCCAGACAATAACTTGTGGAAAGGTGTATGGATCTCTCTGAAATTATACCACAAGTTTCCATACCACAAAGGGATGGCTAGGATTGGCTTTTTAGGGGTTATGGCTCAAACTGTTTAGGAATTAGGGGGAAAACAAGTGTTTCCTGGTTAATGGACAATTAAAAGAAAGTAAAATGTTATGTTTGGATTACCTCCCTTACACTGCATTTAAATAATGTATAAAGAAATGTTGTACTGTCTTGAGGTGATTAGCTGTCAATTTATTTTTAGAAGTTACTATTTAAAAATGATGATTAAGGAATATTAATTTTAGCCATGATTATGTATGTCATTTTCTATTTTAAGACTTTTATGATGTATTTAAATGGGTAATTATGGTTGCAAACTCCATTGGAAAATTGAATTGAGATTATGACCATATCTTGAGGGAAAGTTCGGTTTTTTTTGGAAAAAGGGGGGGGGGGGGGTGAGGTGAAAAAAAATTGGAAGGGGGGGTTAAAAAGAAATTGTGAGGGGGGGACAATTTTTTCTCATTTCAGATTTCAGAAAAATGGGGGGGTTAAATTTTATTTTTTGGGGGGGGGGGGGGGGGGGGGGAGTCAATTCGCAACAGCATAGTGTATTGCACAAAAGCAAAAAAAAAGGGGGGTAAATTTTTTTTTGGGGGGGGGGGGGGGGGGGTCAATAGCAACAGCATAGTGTATTGCACAAAAGCAAAAATTGAATATAAATTCAAATCATATAACCAATTCTAAGTTCTTTGACTACAGTTATTCTGTGTCAGAAACCTATTATGTGTCAAATATTTAATTACGATCCAAATTCAGACCTGTATCAAGCGTGAATATTGTGTCTATTTTTGCCCCAACTGTTCAGGGTTGGACCTCTGCTGTCGTATCCAGCTGTGCTCAGTGAAGCAATTTATTGCATTGTAGTATTCAGATATACATACATTGAACAACTCGATTATTAACTATTTGGTATATATATATATGCACTCTCCGCTTGGGGTGGAATCACAAAGTTAACAAAGTTCTAAATTATTTAATTTATCACATAAAGCACATAGCATATCACATTTCTGACTAATTCATGAGATATTTTCCTAAGTTAAATGTGCAATTGTACCTATATCACCCTATTCCCTAAACCTTTGCGAAAGACGAAAAGCTAGCACTTGGTATGCTAATGAATATCCTTTATTCATTCGTCACTGATGAGTCTTGTATAGACGAAACGCGCATCTGGGGTAGAAAATATTATAAGCCTGGTACCTTTGACTATTTACTTTAGGCCTAACACAGTGCCATATTCTGTGAGATGTCTAGAATTTGCAAGTATATTTCATTTGTCTACTTGATTTATTTTCTTATGCTTGATTTGTTCAGTACGGTATACATTTTGTCTTATATCTACAGTATATCCTGTTTTATTTTAGAAAATGAACAATGTCGCTCTCTTGAAAGAAATTTAAGCGTGCCTGACTTTGCAACATATAGACTCTTATAAATAAGTATCACATAACTCTTTCAAATCCTGCAATCAAAATACAGGGACCCTTCCTCATGCAGTGTATAACTAAGTTCGGGTACATGTATGCTTTGTTTATTAAATGCAAAGTAAACCTGAAAAATTCTGTTTCAAAAATCAGACGACATGACTATTTATATATGTGACCGTTTATAGATATATAAATCTTAAGAAATTAGAGAAACATAATATTTTTGTAACTCGCAACTCGACTTTGTAACTTGCAACTCAGCCTTTTCAACTCGCAACTTGCAACTCAACGATAAGAAACCATCCACAAAATTAACTCGGAATGCAGACAAACCTGTGCATCTTGAAACATTTTAATGCATTTTAGTGCATAGGTTTGTTTGCACTTAGTAAATTTTGTGGTGTAAAGAGTCATTTTAGCCAAAAGATCCACCTCATGTGGACCCTGTGACTCAAAAGGCTGTGTTGACATATAAAAATTTACTCTGAGTACAGACAAACCTGCATCTGGAATAGTTTGAAGGCAAACGTGCATGCCCTATATAAATAAAATTTAAATGCATTTTAAGTTTTAGAAAATCAAACTGGATTTTACTGTGCACTTGTTTTCACACCAATACAGACCCTGTGCATGCTGTGACTGTGTCCATGGTTTGCTTACAAGGATTTGACAAGTCTCTGTTTTACTTTCTGTAATAAAGACTTATCAGGATCCTCTGGTTTTGTTGTAATGAATGATAAACACACCTTAAAAATCATAAGCAGGAATGTCATAAGCTGATCAGATGTCACGTGATAATTACAAAAACAGACTGGAGTGTTGTTAGATCCTTGGATGCAGGACCTGTATTTTAATCAGATTCATTCCCCACTTTGAGGTTTGAAAGTTGATAGCTTTACCATGTGTTCACAGCTGATTACATTTATTTTTCAATAGTTTCAGTTCCATCAAAACATCCAATCTTTATTTAAGATAGGCTATGATTAATCAAATTCCAGTTTTGGTCTTGTAATGAGTTGAAGATACAAATTAAAGTGGCTGTTGATATTCGGGGTAAATCTAAGTCCGAGAGGTTTTTTAATAGACATATGTATCTTTAGCTGTTTAGCAGAACTATAAATGCATTCTTTCAATTCTTTTTCAGATAAAGGAATGTAACAGCAAAAGATGACAACCAAAATTTTACAGAAGTTAAGACCTCTTGACTTTCCAGAATGCTCCAAGCAGGCTATCAACTATCTAGTTTCCTGTATCTCATCAGATGACCATGGATCTTTACCTGGGTTATCAGGGACACCAGAAAATTTGGCACAGGACGTTGCTAAAGATTATATTTTATTTACATCTCAGAACCAAAGAGGCCATAGAGTAAGCTGTACACACATATATATATATATATATATAGCTCATTCTCGCTGTCACATGACAATGCATGACATTTAATTCATCTAAGATGCAATTTGTTTATCATGATTCATGTAAATTTTAGTCTACTGCAAAAAATTTTTTTTTTGATTTATTAGAGAGGTGGATTAAAAAGGAGGAGGGGGCAGTCCTCCCTTTGAAACTTTGAAACATAATTTACTGTTATAGTATGGATTTTGAATGTCTAAGGTTTGTGTCATGTTTTAAAATTGCAAATCATAAAGGGAATGTTGTATTATTGTTATTGGGAATACTATCCATAAAGATAAACACCACCAGGAACAAAATGTTTCTGCTTGTCTGCAATCCTCTTTGAGGGTTCTTGTATATTCCTGAGGCCTGACCCCAAATATGCTTCGATATAAAACATAGTCAAAAGGTATAAAATTTATAGTATAAATGTACATGTAAAACAAAAAACTGAAAATCCATTTAGCAAAACTTGAAAAGCATGTATAGAGCATTTTCCTAAGTTTCAAATAATCAAATGTACATGTAGTTTACATAAAAGTGTTTATGTGTATTTCAGAGATTAAATGCCATTCAAGAATTACATATGTTAGAGATGTTATGTACAGCTATTGATGAAATCTCACAGGGATCCAGATATAAATTATTTAATGTTATATTTGGTGGTAAACATGAACCTGTCAAGACAAGTTTACTGACAAAATTAGTATCATTAGCTCTGTCTATCAGATGTGGAGCTGTGCTTGACTGTGCTGCCCTCTGGATGCAGGTAATTTACTTACAAAATTAGTATCATTAGCTCTTTCTGTCAGATGTGGAGCGGATGCAAGTAATTTACTGACAAAATTAGTTTCATTAGCTCTGTCTGTCAGATGTGGAGCTGTCCTTGACTGTGCTGCCCTCTGGATGCAGGTAATTTACTGACAAAATTAGTATCATTAATTTAGGTCTGTCTGTCAGATGTGGAGCCATCCTTGACTGTGCTACCCTCTAGATGCAGGTAATTTACTGACAAAATTTGTATCATTAATTTAGCTCTCTCTGTCAGATGTGGAGCCGTCCTTGACTGTGCTGCCCTCTGGATGTAGGTAATTTACTGACAAAATTAGTATCATTAATTTAGCTCTTTCTGTCAGATGTGGAGCCGTCCTTGACTGTGCTGCCCTCTGGATGTAGGTAATTTACTGACAAAATTAGTATCATTAATTTAGCTCTATCTGTCAGATGTGGAGCCATCCTTGACTGTACTGCCCTCTGGATGTAGGTAATTTACTGACAAAATTAGTATCATTAATTTAGCTCTCTCTGTCAGATGTGGAGCCGTCCTTGACTGTGCTGCCCTCTGGATGTAGGTAATTTACTGACAAAATTAGTGTCATTAATTTAGCTCTCTCTGTCAGATGTGGAGCCGTCCTTGACTGTGCTGCCCTCTGGATGTAGGTAATTTACTGACAAAATTAGTATCATTAATTTAGCTCTCTCTGTCAGATGTGGAGCCGTCATTGACTGTGCTGCCCTCTGGATGTAGGTAATTTACTGACAAAATTATTATCATTAATTTAGCTCTCTCTGTCAGATGTGGAGCCGTCCTTGACTGTGCTGCCCTCTGGATGTAGGTAATTTACTGACAAAATTAGTATCATTAATTTAGCTCTCTCTGTCAGATGTGGAGCCGTCCTTGACTGTGCTGCCCTCTGGATGTAGGTAATTTACCAATAGAAGAGTCATTTACTAACAGTGTAGCATCATAATCACTGATTCATCCTCAAAATCCATGAAATATTTGCTACTGAATGTAATGTAAATACCAATCAATCAACCTATCATTTGCAAAGATAAAAAAGCCTCCTGTTTTGAAAACAAACTGACAATGCTATGGCCAAAAATAACAAAAAAGGCAAACAATAGTCTACAAAACACAACATAGAAAACAAAAGACTGAGCATCACAAACTCAATTAAAATCTGGGAGTGATCTCAGGTGCTCAGGAAGGGTAAGAAGATCCTGTATTGGTCATGTAAGTACAAACCATTTTCATTGGTGAATCAAAATTAGAAGGGGAGAAATTGATAATTTTGGGAATTCTGCAAAATTTAGAAAGAATTCTTGTTGGGGTTTAGTCCCTTTACCAGACTCTAAGGATTGCTAGTGAAATTCTTACCAGAAGCTGATATGTGTTTGACAAATATTGCAATAGTTCTGTAATCAACAGCTTTATTTCTATCATTGTTCATAGTAAAATAGTTAATTGCAGGGTAAAATATGATGTGCTAAACAATATCATTTTCTATTTATTAGGAGCAAGGTTGTCATAGTGATGGAGTGTGTAAACTTGCCCATAGTTTGGTAGAAGAATATTGTATGTTGTACCCCAGTGTCAGTGAAGCTTTCCATGGTCTACCCAAAGTGTCTCCATTGTTTACATGTAATTTTATATCAGCAGCCGTCACCATATTTTACTTCAATGGTAAGTTATATCCCAGTGAACCTTAAACTAAGTGTCTCCATATAAAAATAAGAAGATGTGATATGATTGCCATGAGACAACTCTCTACCAGAGACCAAATGACATAAAAGATAGTAACTATAGGTCACCATATGGCCATCAACAATGAGCAGAACACATACAGTATGCATAGTTTACGTGTAATTTTATATCAGCAGCAGTCACCTCCTTTTGACCATGTTTATCATTTTTGCCTATTAACTTTAAAACTAACACAGAAAGAAACTTTAAAAAACAGAAATATGATTAGCAATACAAGATCAACAATTACCGGTAAGTCTCATTACAAATACTGCCAATAGACTGTTTTTATTATGTATTGCCCTTTAATGACTATTTAAAATATATTAAAAGCAATCTTCAACTTTGATTAAACTGATAAAAAACCTAACTTCACATAAAGAATTAAAAAAAAGTGTGAGATGTGGTATGATTGCCATTAGACGACTATCAACTAAAGACCAAAGGAACAAGGCTGTAAACATCTACAAAGCATGTAACCCCCTTCAACAATGAGCAGGCGACATACTGTACAGTAAGCTGTAAAATGTCCTTGAATAACAAAATGTGAAACAATTCAGTAGAAATTCGCAGGAAACTAGCGGTATGAATCGATTTAGTTTAACATTATCAAACGTCAAACAATTATAGCAGATAGGAAAAAATATAAATTTGGTTGTACATGTTGTACTTAAACCCCGAAGTACACCGCTTTTTGATCAGTTTGGTGATGAAGAAAGTCACTGTATGGTTTCTCTTTATCTATGAACCATATATTTGACAACAAGAAGCTGATGACTTGCAGATGCCTAGCCTTTTTATACTTTTGTTACAAATATTTGAAATGTCATTAGGTAAAGAATGTATAATGAAGGTCAGAATTTTTACAATTTTTAATGTTTCCATATCTTTACATGTAACTTCATTTCAATTGATCATGTTGATTTGTAATCAAAATTCATGACAGGTTGTAATGCTATGGTATAAGAAAATTCAGGAATAAGAAAGGAAATTTATAAAGGGTTTTGGAAGATAATGGACAATTTACATGATTTAGGGGTATGGTATACTGAGGAGTACTTGGATAGAAAGAAAAATATAGGTGGTGAATGGGTAGTTTATCACAGATTGGAAATTATGCCAAAATGTGTTTTGGATTTAGCTAGATCCAAATATTCGTATCCTAAAGACATTTCATACATTGGACATCAGTGGGAATGATGTAACAAAAACAAATCATTATGTGTGAATATCCAGTGCATATGTCTATTTTGATAATAAAACTTATTTCTCTAAAACTAAGGTCATTGTCTTTTCTCAGTTTTACTGTTATCAGATGTGAAACCACAACCTGAACTGTTCGGCAATTAAATCTGTCACAAGATGATAACATACTGAAGCTGTTACAGATCATACAAATTCAGTCCGGACTGAAGATTTTCGGGGTTTAAAGATAATCAATAAATTAGTGGTATGATTTAGACTAATGTACATACCGATACGTTTAATTTCAATTGATTGACATATGAAGTATTTTGCTTTATTAAATACAGTTTAGCATTTTAGATAAGTTTTAATACGTTTTGGCAAAGGAGACAGTTAACTTATCTTTCTATTTTATAGATAATCACAACATCCCACCATTGGGACTATTAGATGCCATAACAGATTGGATCTCATCAGATTCTTGTTTGTGTTTTGAATCAGTCAGACTTGTCAGAATCCAGTCAAGTTTCTCTTGTCCAGTTTTTGGTTTATTCCGCTGGTGCATTCTGGGACACTTAGTGACTGCTTGTAACCATGACAAAAAAGTTGACATGGAAACATCAACAAAGACATTTGCCTTACTCTCTAAACTTCATTTGTGTATTCTGCAGAATTTACAGTCTTACAAAAGCATGGAACTGAATCAGATTTTGTTTCATTTACAAGACTTTATTAGCATTGCCACTGCTGTGAGACAATGTTGCCAGAACTGGAAAATAAGTGAAGAGAACTTTTACATGTTAATAGAAAGAATTGGTCAAGTTTTACAGGTTGCCATAGTAACAGAAAGTTTAAAAATAGATCAAGGTAATTTTTATTAAAAGATGAGTGATTTTGTTAAATTCAAATTTTGTCTTGCCTTGACGGAGTCAAAAAGCGAGACATAGGTATGCTGTTTACGGCGGCGGCGTCGTCGTCAAAAATGTATTAGTTTGTGATTAGGTCTAGTTCATGATGAACCACTAGTGGTAGGTCAATGATATTTGGTATGCAGTTGTATTAGCATTGGCACATCTCATTACCATGGAGATTATTTGGCCCCGCCCCCTCAGTCAAGGTCTATTGACTTTGAAACTTTTCATAGTTTACATGTATTAGTTTGTGATCATGTCAATTTATGGGGAACCACTAGTGGTAGGTCAATGATATTTGGTATGCAATTGTATAAGCATTGGCATATCTCATTTCCATGGAGATTATTTGGCTCCACCCCCTTAGTCATGGTCTATAGACTTTGAAAATTTTGCTAAGTTAACATGTATTAGTTTGTGATTAGGTCAGTTCAAGGGGAACCATTAGTGGTAGGCCAATGTTAATTTGTGTTCAGTTGTATAAGCATTAGCACATCTCATTTCCATGGAGAATATTTGGCCCCCCCCCTCAGTCATGGTCTATTGACTTTGAAACTTTTGCTTAGTTTACATGTATTAGTTTGTGATTAGATCAGTTTAAGATGAACTGCTAATGTTAAGTCAATGATATTTGGTATGCAAATGTATTGGCATTTGCAAGTATAGTTTCCATGGAGATTATATAGCCCCACCCCTGATCATGGTTCATTGACTTTGAAACTTTTACATAGTTTACAAGTTAATGGTTGTTTTTAGGTTTGTTTAAAGGGAACTACTTATAATAAGTCAATGGTATTTGGTATGCAGTTGTATTAGCATTGGCACATCTCATTCCAAGGAGATTGTTTAGCCATGTACCTTCAGTCATGGTTCATCGACTTTGAATATTTGCATAACTTACATGATGAAATATTGCTATTTTAATTTCAAAATTTGCATTATCAAAATTTCAAAAAGGCGAGACATATCTCTGTGATAACAGTTTATTTATTGTCTTTTTTAATCAGCCTGTTTCTATTGTTTTTTATTGTGTACATATCCTTCCTAGCATAATGTCATTTGCATGTCAAGAAGCATAATAATGGTAGCAAGTCTTCTTCTGGATTCGTAAAATATTGTTATGAACTCAAATGTATGAGAAGTTTTAGAATTTCTTCTATGGATGGGTATCAGATTTTCACGATACAATCAAGTTTACATGCTTATTTGGAACAGCGATTAAAAAAGGGTTAATAACTCAATTGCTCTAAAAGGTTAAGACCACTCATGGTCTTCTTATATTCATTATATATATACTCTCAGAATTTAAGGTAAATATTTGTTATATTTTTTTTCAGTGACGGGAACAGAAGGTTTAAAAGAATTATGCAGCATACTTCCACCAAATAGGTATTTATAGTATTGTATTATTATAAAACAGACACACATAAATATACGGCAGTCAGTAGAAATCTTGTTTTTGTGCATGTTTGCATCATTTTAGTGTCTAAATTACAAAACTCTTAATCTCATTTATTCAAGAAAATGAAAGCTGAACAAAAAGAAAAAAATCACTAAACAAGAGAAACATTGGCTAATTATATATTTAATGTGAATTGTTTATAAGGAGAAGGTTTGATGGGGAGGATCAAAATTTTGTGGTAGATACTGTTTTGATCCGACATTAAAAAAAGTTTATTTCCAAGTTTCATAATATTCAATGACGGTTTGACAAAACAATTGTATTTTATTTACTTCTTAGTATTGCTCTGCACTGCATTGGACCAGTATTTATACTAGATATAAAACATCCCAACAAGGGGAATATTTTGTATTCAATAGTAATTTTAAAACTGAATTGTTTCTAAGAAGTGAGTTTCATGAAAGTCCCTTATCATTCAATTTATTTATCAGTAAAAACTACATAATTTTGAAAGGATTGAGAAATTTAAATATTTTTGCAATATCAGGGTCAAAATAATTGGTCTAATCCTTCAGACAAAGCATAAGGAAAAAAATTCAGAGCTCATTTCGCCCATTTTGATTCCTGCCAATCATACTGAAGATTTTAAAATCTGTTTTTGCTGTTTCTTTGACACATGAGATGGAAAGAGCAAACACCTGGCTAGGAATTAAAATGAAAATAGGTCCAGAAAGTGTTATATATATAAATTTGTAAGCTAGCACATTGAAAATCTGTAATATGTTGGTACATTGTAGTATTTGATGTTTAATATTAGATATTGATCATGATCACAAACTCAATTTTGCCTATTACCGTAAAGAAAAAAGATAGAGCACAACTTATTTTTATATCTTGCCTGATGATCATTTATCATTGTTTACTGTCCCTGTCAAATGATCTTGTATTGCTGATTATTTTTGCTATTTATTAACCAACAATACAAGATCATATGACTGAAACAGTAAACAACAAATATGATCAAAAGTTATGATATAAAAATAAGTCATGTTTTAATAATTGATAAATTATTTAAATTTTGTTTTTCAGACTACTCAAAATAATATACAACCACCATTCACAGAGAGGAAATCAACATTTTCAACCTATGGACACATCATGAACAATACAAACATACATTTATACTTTGGTGCTTTTATCTTGTGAAGAACGAATAGAATTGAAAGTAAAACAATGTTTATGTATGATCAGACTGATTTTTGTCAAAAAAATTGAGGTATTGATGACTTGTCAAGATTGGATTATAGATCTTGTGATTCAATTGTCAAAATAAGTAAAGAAAATTTCTTTGTTTTATCTGAAAATATCAGTGAATATTCAAAAGTGCATAATAAACAAATAAATAAAAGATGCTACAACATTAAATATGAGTTCCCTGTAATTTCATTCAAATAAACTCTCCCTAGATACCAGGATTAAAATTTTGTATGCCAGACCAGCATTTGGTCTACAAAAGACTCATCAGTGTGACACTTGAATCAAAAAAGTTAAAAAGGTCAAATACGGTACGAAGAAAATAGAATTGCTATGATTGGATATCCCTGCACTGCAGTAAAAAGTTTTTTTTTTTTTTTTGGCTTTGTGCATTTCGTGAGTAAAGGTGAAGCTTGAATTCAAATGTTTAACTTAAGGAGGCTCGAGGGTACAAAAATTTCATAAAAAATTTAAACATTATTTTTTTCATTACAAATTTTATTTATTACACTATTAGTTGTTACTTTATGATATGGTACAAAAATCAACCACAAAAATCAATTCGTTTTGGCCCCAGATGACTTTTAAAATGTTTATATCATTGAAAAAGCTCCAAATTATCTCCCTTAGATGCAAAAACACCATTTTTTGGCATTAAAATTGAAATAACTTTTTAAACTCATCGGTGACCTATATTTTTTATTATTTTTTTTAAATAAGCTGTATCTAAACTAAACAATTGTAAAATTTAAGTGATTTCTGTAATTTAGTTTTTTTTTTTTTTCGATATTACCTCTATTTCTCCTATTAGTTCAACAGAAAAAAAGCACCTTAACAAAAATGCATGCTTCTTTCAAAGGTTGATTGTGAGCTTAAATGAACGGTGACACCATTTTTTTATTTTATTTTTCTATTAAGTATATGATAAAGATAATTTATAGAAAAAAATGGGGAAATCCTATATTTAAAAAAAAAATGGATTTATACCTGCAAGCCCCCTTAATACAAATTTTCCATAGAATTGTTTGCAGAATATTTAAAAACCACAAAATCAAATATCCACGAAAAAACAACCCATGAAAGTTGGTTCCAATGGAAAAAAAAACCGAATTCAGATTTATTGTCAAGCCTGCGACTTCTGTCGCAGAAAGCTTGACATATGGATAGTGATCTGGCTACGGCGGCGTTAACAAACTTCTTAAAAGCTTAATATTTCAGAAGGTAGAGGACCGGGATCCTTATGTTATGAAGTTTCCGTCTGTCATATGTCCATTGTCCTCAAATAGTTAAGATTTTTAGTATTCTTGATTTCTCTCTTATTATGGGTAATAGGATAACTATATTTGGTATGTGCATACCTTGCAAGGTCCTCATGCCAGTCAGACAGTTTTACTGTATTTGGTGTATGGAATGATTGCAAGGTGAATATGTCTGTCTGGCAATTATCATCTAACCTTGACCTCATTTTCATGATTTATTGGTCAATCTTAAGGTTTCCTGGTTAAGTTTGTTTCTTATATACTATATGCAATAGGTCAACTATATTTAAAGCATGTAATGATTGTAAGGTGTACATGTCTGTCTGGCAGGGTTCATCTGACCTTGACCTCATTTTCATGGTTCTTTGATCTATGTTAAGTTTGTTTCTTAGATACTATGAGCAATAGGTTATCTATATTTAAAGCATATTTGGTGTATGGAATGACTGTATGGTGTACATGTACTTCCAGTTTGGTTTATCTGACCCTGATCTCATTTTCTTGGATCATGTTAAGTTTAGTAAGGACTATCCACATAAAATCAATGGTCAGTAAAGGAAAGGCGAGACATTTCAACGTTTGCACTCTTGTATTTTGTATTACTTAGCTTGTACTTGTGTTTTTTGTCATTTATTATACTGGTTTTATAGAGTTGTGCTTTCACTGTACAGGTATTAATTGTACAATCTTATATTTTACTTTTTTATTCCTTTGATCAAAATTGAAAGTGGGTGGTTGAGTTCAAAAAACAATAGTTAAACCTTGCCACATGTTTGTGTATCTGTCTGGAAACAGGAACCTGCACAGTGGTTAATGTTGTCCTTTGTTATAATAACATTATTTATACTGTAACTGTGCTATTTCCAGTCAAATTGCATTGACCTTATATTCATTTGTGGTCAAGTCACCGACCATCTTTTGGTAATACAAGTCTCTATACATGTACTGTGGATTCATTTATTTTTGTGGATTAAGGCAAACTTACATGTTCGTGGATATTTAATTTTGTGGTTTTGCTGAGGTCTGCATACAAGCCTATAGAAATTTGTTATTCATTGAACATTTAATTTCGTGGTTCACCTGTACCCACGATATCCACGAAATCTGGTATCCAACGAATAATAATGAATCCACAGTATTTGCCATCTGTGACTTTTGCCTCTGTCTCTGACCACTTCTGATAAAGAGCAATCTAGAAATTTGCATTTACGGCAGAATTTTATATCTGTACTTTCAATTATTGCTCACCACTAACAGCTAAAATATGGATTCATTCTTGCTTCACATTTAAAAATCGCATTGGAAAATTTTGTTTACATTGTTAGAAATTAAAGATGTTTATATCCTTTTATGGTACATGTCTAGATCTCTTAACAACATTATCTATAGTTGAATGATCTGATATCTAACGCCATTCTATCATCAGAATGGTATGTTGCTCTACAGTATACAACAGATGCTGCATCAGGCCCCTCCTATATAATGTAGGCTGGACCAATATAATTTATTCCAAAAGGTTAATGTTGCGACTTCAATTTTTATAGCCTAATAATGGTTAATAAAAGCATAAAAGACATGGCTATTCTTTGCTTTATTAAGAGGTATAAATCTAGATAGACTAAAGTAAAGTCTTGGAAACATGATGTGATTCTGTGTTTAGTGGTCCTGAACAACATTTCCAAATTTCAAATGATTTGTGCAAGGCATTTATCTTCAGGAAACCAAAAATTGACAATGTTTTTTTCTACCAAGGGGCATTACTCCAGAGAGACATAAGTTACAACTACTAATTGGAAATGGATTTGTGTTAATTAGTCCATAACAAAATTTAAAAAGTTAATTGATTTGGTCAAGAAACCATTGGATATTTTATGTTTTACCAAGGGATATAACACTATCTGGAAAGACAAGTGAAATCAAACAAATTCTGTGTTTAGTTGTCTTGTCAATATTTCCAAATTTCAAATGATTAAGTGGTTTATTACACAAGTAATTGTGCTTTTAACTATGGAAAGACAACAGGGAAATTGATTTAATTTGAAATTTGAACTGTTTACAGTTTAGTGGTCCCTGACATTTCCAATCTCCAATTATTTAGTGGAGGGTTGACTCAAGTAATTGTGCTGGAAACTTATTTCAGAATGCATGTGTGTATGTGTCATGAATGGATACCCCATATCTTTTCTTTTCTATTATGTACAAGAGTAACCAATAAAAAAAATATTCCCAAATCGACAATGAAGGTGTTTTTAACAACCTTGCCAAACCATGAGGGTCATGCACGGTCGGTGTTTCCAAAATCAAATCCTTAAATGATGAGAATGTTCTAGTTTTATATCCTTTTTTAGATCTCATTATCATCATATATATGTTGGACTCAAATCTATGGTGGGTTCCAGATCTATGGCAGATTCCGAATCTATGGTAAATATGACGTCATGCCATCCCAAATCTATGGCAGATTTTTTAAAATCCTAATCTGGCAAGTTTTTGTTATTTCCTAATCTATGGCGGATTTTTGTTGTTTTCAAATTTATGGCAGATTTTGTACAAATGGAGATCAAGGCAGAAAATATACGATCAATGACTTGTCTTAAACAAGTCGAAATGTACGACAACATGAGCATGTCTATAAACATTTGTGAAATAAACATTCCATAATGTTCAACCAAATCGTGATTGCAACCATAAAATGTCCTATTAAGTGTAGCAGTGATATACCATAATACAGACTTCGGGATTGAAATGATGTGCCCCATAAAAATAAGTATTTTCTAATCTGTGCATGGTACCTGTTAAACCCATTCATTAAACCAACTAGTAAAAATGGAAGTCCCTTAACAAACAAGAAAGCATTTTTTTATAAAAAGAATTAAACAGTTTGACTTTTCACATTTATATTTATTTGAGCATTAATCAATCTTTTTTAACTTATGACGATTTAAGTCAAAGTGGTATATCCTGTAATTTCATCTCTCACTTTATATACTTTGCCAGCCATAGATGCTAACATATTTACTATAACTCCTTTCCTAAAATATCCACTACTAAAACAGCAGTGCCTTTCTTTATCGCGGGATACGGACGATACAGCACATATTGTCCCTCCTCTGAATAAAAGGTCACACCATCGGCAAATTGTTCTAGAGGGAAAGCGGAAAGTGTTTCCCTATGTATTTGTTTGTAAAAATATGTGAGCCCGTGTTAAATATTTGTTTTTGATTTACATTCTACATATAAAAAAAAATCTATATAAAATGATGTTCAAATCTATGGGTTACGCAATCGTTAGCGGTGGCGACGATGCAATATGGCGTTATTTAATTGTGACGTTATATGTAAGTCTTTTTCCCGGAAAATTACAAGATCTGCTATAGATTTGGAGAAAACAAAAAACTGCCTTAGATTTGATTTGTTTGGCGTTTGTAACGTCATATTTGCCATAGATTAGGAATCTGCCATAGATTTGGAACCCGCCATAGATTTGAGTCCTACATATATATATACACAAGTCTAAATTGAAAACAGCGTTCAAACCTATGATTGTGTTGGATAAAAACTTCAATTTTTATATGTGTACATGCAAAACAAATTTCTTGGTAGAGGGGTCTAAATACAGCACAAACAACATTTTCCAGAAGACCAAAAAAGTGTAAAGTATATTTTAACAAAACGCATTTGACTAGCAGGATGAACAACAGATGTTCTTAAACCCAATATATATATATATAGACAATAACTTTTTAGTGTCTTTAAATATCAGCTGTATTTTTACGAGGCTAAGAAACAGGTGTAATGTGAGCTTCAGCGAGCTAATACTTCTGTTTCAAGCCAAGTGTTTGATTTGTCCTATGCTTCGAACTGTCCGTGCATTCACTGATTATTGACATTATTGCATGGTTGATTTTGTGT